GTACCCACAGATGCCACCTGAAAACTTTACTGGAACACGGTAAGACATAAATTAATGCTTATTCAGTACCTTGCTACTTGGTAATTGGTAAAAACTAGGTCCAGCTCTTCTTACCATGATGTTTAAATGCATACTTTAAAGGAGGCTAAAAGACTGTAAGAAACAAGGTCCTTCTCCACATTCATGGTAACACAATGTTCACTGCCACAAATCCACTTTATTTCAGATGGGCGGGTGCACCGTCATACTATCTACCAGTGGCTACCACTCACAACTAGAAAGTGGTGTTTCAAGTTCACCTTACTACTTCCTCTAACCAGCAAGTGTTTATTATCTCACCTGTTAGGCTCTGGTTATACCAAAGCAAGTAAAGCCCCAGTAGTAGCCCTCAGGGAGCTTATAGTCTAGCAGGGAAGCCGGACAAGGACCCAGCAACTGCAGCCTAGGGAAGGAGGGGAGAGCATTGAGGGGAGGTACACCTAGCCCAGACCCCTTAGCCTTTCACACAGTTGTTGAAGAAAAAGGACATAGGTTTAAGAGAACTATCTGCTTTAAGAAATCTTGATAAAAACCTCTAAATTTAAGTTGTAGGTAGGACCTTGAGGAAGCCCAAGCCCAAGCTTGATAATCCACAGCCACAGAAATGCATTTCCTACGTGCTCTCTTTTGGACTTCCTGAGTCTCCTGAGTTTGGAAGCAATATCGATAATACAAGGGAAGGATGTAATTCTTACAGAAGTCTCTTCAGTTTGTTCATTTTGATGCATTTCATAAACTCTAATCTGCCGATAATTCAAGTTTCGTAATGGAAGTTGGGTGAGGAACCAGTCTGCAAACTGGCTCCCGGGAATCCCTGCTGCTCTCAGTATCTATGCCCTTGGATGCCCACCCTCCCCAAACTGTACCTGAGCTGGGTTAGCTTGTGTGACAACAGCATATGGCAGTGACGGCATGTCAGTTCATGAAGACTCAAAAGTCTTCAACCCTTTGTGCTCTTCTCTTTCGTGAGTCACTTGCTTCTAGGGGCAGCCAGCGGCCGGGCCTGAGCAGCCGTGGGGAGAGACCCAGCGGGAGGAACTGAAGCCTCAGAGTAACAGCCACCTGCGGGAGCTTAGAAATGAAGCCCCAGCTCCAGGCAATAGCTAGACAGCAACTTCATGAGACCCTGACCCAGAGCCCCCAGCTAAGCTGCTCCTGGGTCCTCCTAAGGAAATCGTATGATAATAAATGTTTGCTATTTTAAGCTGATAAATTTAGGGGTAATTTATTTTGCAAGCAATGGATAACTACACAATAGGTTTTGAGGGCCTTGCTATACGGTGAGACCAGAAAAATACATTTTAAGTTTTCAAAGACTGACCACTTGAGCAGGGAGAAGTTTCTATTTATTCCAGGTGTTATCCCAGTACTTACCATCTTCACTGATAAAAAAGACTTCATGTGGACACAGCACATGTGTAATATACCACCTAGTTTTGGCTAAAACATTTATAACATTTTTTTTCTTCTTGCCAAAGTTGCATGATTTGTCTCATGGATTTTTTAAAATATGATTTTATTAGCTATGTGAGGTGCTAAATTAGAATACCCAACTTTAACCAAAATTAGTTTGTAGAAGAAAATATGATCAGCTCTATATATTGACTTTTAGAAAAATAAAAATTTGGTTAAAAATATCCAAAACACATCGACTCTTTGACAGTTAGTTCTGGAATACAGGAGGAAGGGTGATGGGGTGGAGGGTTCAATGAGCACAGGCTAGTTATCTCAGAGCAAGTGTTCATTGCAAACCAGAGAGGCGTAACTATGCAAAGAGTTTATGAACAGTGAGGTCATATACAGCGGAAGCCTGGGCTTCAGAGGCGGAAACTGTCGAAGCTTTAATGCCTTTGGTGCTCCGCCTGCTTGAAGAGCCTGCACTGAGAAAGGGTTCTCCTCCCAGCAGGAACGGATCCCCCTCTTTTAAGAAGGAAAGGGATACTGTCTGAGCAGGTGTGCCTGCTTCAAACTCTATGCGGAACAAGATGATAGGACAAATAAATACATTAAAATGCAAGTTAAAAAAATTACATCCAGGATGTAATTTCAGAGTAGAAGCATCTAATTCTCTGCTAAATGAAGTCTGGATACCTGGATGTACTCTGGCCAATTTAAGAGGTCAAACGAAAAGATGATGTAAACAGTGTCTGTGCACACCAGGAGCATAACCAGAAAAAGTTCCTTTACTCCCGTCCTCACCTCCCCACCCCCACGTCCCCTTTTGATTTATTCTCAATGTTCTTGTCTTTTTCATAGGCTTTATCTCAGTGTCCCTCCATGACAGGCTTGATCATATCAGATCTGTACTGCAACAAGCTTAATCTTTAGGAAGAAACATATACAGCTGCTTATTCTTGAATGAGCAGCACTGTAAACACATACCATAAACTACAGTGAATACTTGCGACCATAAGCAAGGGGTGGAATTGGCTCCATTCATTCCTGCCCCAGCTCATCCATGGGAAATTGCTTTCAAAGAGCCAGTCTGGCCAAGACACTTCCCAGAAAAAAATCCTTCCTCAGTTATTACCTGTTACATACAAGGTACACTTCAAACCATTTAACAGGGCAAAATTCCAAGTCAGTACATAAAAATTCTTAAAATTGCTTTCTTATCACATGACTTATTCTAAGAAAAGTAATCTCAGATCTTAATGGTTTGCAAAGCCAGGTCCTTTGAAAGAAACCAGGTATGTTCCCCAGGCTCCCCAGAAGGGAAACTCACCTTTGGCCACACAGTCTCTGCTTGGGTGGTTGGGTGGTTGAAGGGAAGGTGAGAGGAAATGCACCCTCATCTATGGTTCCATGGGCTCCTAGGTCTTCCTCTAGTACGTGGCACTGAACTTGCCAGCTTCCTTGCCCGCATTTCCCCTCTACACCCAAAGCTCTATGACAATAGGGGCTGAGCATTGCCAGAAGCTGGCACAGTGCCCCGTATCAGACACAATCAGTATTTGCTAAATGAATGGATATAAAACCATCGAAGCCTGGAGACAAAATGTGGAATAGCAAAAAAGAAATAATCTTTTTAGTTCTCAAACTTAGAACCATTATTCTGACTCTGTGTAAAAAAAACTCTGGATTTTCTCCCTAATAGGCAAAAAGGTGAGAACGGATTGCTAAGACCTCTTGCAGCAATTCTAATTCTACGTACGTAAGTACAAAGCATGTTTAAAATTTAAGACTGATTTTTAAATGAAGCCATCAGAATTCCTAAGTACAGATGAACACTTAAATAAGTAGGTACTGTGACTCACCCAATTTGGAATTCTGCATAATTCCTTGTTTTTGATTTAAAGCAAAACTAAATAGCTTTTTAAGAATATACAAAAGCAACATATTTTACTACTAAAAATAAATCAGAAATCATAAAAGGAGAAGAGAATTGACCCACAATCACACAAACAGCACTACTGTAGCCTGGGTATAAATCTTTGAGTCTGCCTGCCATAAACATATTTTGTAGGTTTATGTCTTTTTATTTTTAAAACCAGGATTATGCTACACTCTTTCTTTTACTTAATATGGTATGAATAGCTTCCCATATACTTTGCAAGCACAGTAATCTGGAAGGTGGCAATATTCATTTATTTAGCCAATAACTCACTGCTGGATATTTAGGTTGCTTACCTATCACTATGCCAAAAATAAAAAAATAAAAAAATGCTGCACTAAATGCCCTGGTAGTTAAACTTTTGTGCATGCAATTGGGGTCTCAGAAAAAATTTCCAGAAGGGAATTTTTTGGAACTGGGCTGCACATTTTTAACACTGTTGATTTGTAGGGAGTTTTTGCTCTTAGGTAGCATTATCTGCATCCTTCTGACAGTAGATATGGTCACTAAAGCAGCCAAGCCATTGTGGGTCAAGTCTGGTGACAAAGAGAGAGCTCAAGATAGGCAATACTATTTTTGGTTGAAAGCCTCTGACTCTTCAGCAGTGTCACTGGTTTTCACATGTGACTCACTGTGGCTCTGCAGGCAGTTACAACAGGAATCCCAAACGTTGCAGGCAACTGGCTCACTGTCAAACTAAGCATATGACTTCCCAAAGACACAACTATGAAGGGGACAAGCAGAGCCAGGTGATGATACTTCCTCAGGATTCATTATCCTGGAATTCTGTTCTCATTAATAGTAACACACGTATTAGGGCTCAAAGTTGAGTCAATCAGTGCATTTTAAAAAGCTGTACTGGTTCACCTAAAATGTAAATACTTGCAGTATTTTTTCTAGTCTGACATTCTCATAAACACTTAGTTACCACTCGAGTGTACATAATCTTTTTAATTTTCATACGACCACTAAAAATATAGATACTATTTTCTCCATTTCATAAATGACAAAATTGAGACACTGAGAAGAAAAAGGGCCCAAGGCAGCACAGCTGATAAAAGGCAGGGCCGGGCTGCCGCTGCAGATCTATTTAGCTTCAAACGCCACGTTCCCTTGCTGAGGCAGCCGTGGAGCACCTTTGAGTAATTCTTCAGTGTATCCTTACAGGGTTGTTCAGTTCTGAACCACTATGATTACAATTTCCTAATGACTCCATCACTCCTCGGGAATAAGCCTACTCTTTATGTAACCTGCAAGTGAACTGAACAGAACTGCAGGTATTGCTGATGAATAGGCTCATTTATATTCTGAAGAAAAACTGGCAGTAGCTACAAAACCCCATTCAATTTGAATAAAGAAAATATTGATACTAGACTTTACATTGAAAGAAACTTGTCTGGCAGGTGAGTCACGTTTTAACAATAACCATAGTAAAAGGGGAAAAAATGAGAGAGCAGTTAAGTTAAATAAAAGGCTAATAAAACCTGGAGGAAACAGTGCAGTGTTTTCTTTTAAACCCTGAAGAACACCAAACATATGTTGCTTCAAGAGTCATTTCAAGAAAAAACTAGTAACGATCTAGCAGTAGAGCCGAGCACTAAGAATTCAATGATATATTCAACTCAGATTTGCATAGGGAGAGTAAAGTCATTTTATTAAATCATGCACATCACGTGTGTTAGTGCAAATAGTTTAATCTGTACTCCAGAAATTCTATTGTACTTTATATCTTTACAAAATAGATTTAAAACAATTATTTACTTTAAAAAATGTAATTCTGAAGTTAAGCATTTCAGAACAATATTTGCAATAACCTATATACAAGAGGTACTGGGTACCACTGGCATATTAGCATTCTGTGGTGGGGTTGCTTCCTGCAACAGAAAATGACATGAACTATATGACAGTATTTTCTACAGGTCGTTTGTGACTAACTCCTCCATAAATCTAGTGATCCTCCCAACAGCAAGTCCCAAATATTTTAAAATATAACCTTTTAAGTATAAACAAGGATGGCCAAACATCACAAGGTAAATGATACCCTCCACTTCTATGTCAATATTTGGCTAGGCCTGCGATTGCCGCAGAACATTCAAGCCAGTTCACTGACATTCCCTCCCAGGCTTTGCTGCCTGAAAAATTTAACTATGTGATACTTCAGGATATTCCGTTACCTAAATAAACTTTATTGACATAACTGTGGTGCTGCACAAAACCGTAGCTAAACTTTCACTTCTGTGCTTTAAATTTATAACATCAAGCAGTGTTTAGGTGCTTCGCTGTGCATGGAACACTATTAACCTTGGGAATAGTGCTTCTCATTAACAGAATGTCCCAATGAACAACAATAAAGAAAAAAGATAACCATTTGCATACCCAACCGGGAAATCCGTTGGTAGGTAACAACAGCTCAATTCGAACATGGATTCGCTTTGAAATATCAAAACCAAATTAAGTCAATAGACACTTATCTAAAGAGATATTAATTCTTTCTTCAATTAAACATGCTTGGAGGAAGAGATGATAGAAAAAAAAAATCATGCTTCCTAAAATGCTGCATAATGAGAAAGTAACTTGGCGTTTAAAGAAAATCTCTTTAAATACATGAGGTTTAATAAGTTACATTCCAATTAACTCAACAGTTTGGTTCACTGTACTGAAATTTTATAATTACTCTGTTTTTGCTCCCAGAAATACTTCAGGTTGCTCAAGAAAATACACACTCTCATGGAAAGTTTCTCAAAGCTGATGTCCTCCACATCATCAGGTCACGTTAAGGCTGAACAAGCGTGCACGCATTCCCCACATTGTCACTAGAACAGAATGTTTTCCAAGTGTACTTCTCCTTAAAAAAAAAAAAAAAAATCCACGCAAGTAGTTGTCTCTAAGTCTTGTTCCCAATAGCTCAGTGGTTTTATAACAAGTAAAAATGGCGTAAATATGTAAAAAATATATATATATTTATGTGTATATATTTCAAACTGATAGGCACTGAGCACACAGGGCCTCTCTTCCCATGTACGTTTGGTCGTTTGGTTTGGGTAGTTATCGAATCAGAAAAATGAATTATCTGGTCATTGGAATTCAGAGTAAAATACCCATAAGTTTAATGTTATAAATAATTTGGTGTACCAAGAAGCCTACTTTAGGCCACCATAATATTTGGAATCTCAACATCCTAATTTAAAAATTACATGAAAAATTGCAAGCAAATTATTGCTCACAGTAGAATTAAAGTCACAATTTTATATCCTCTTTATAGACAGATACATTTTATATAATTTAAAGCAATGACCCTACAGCTGTATTCTTGCACTTCTGCTGTTTTAAGAGGTAAAAAAAGGAAGAAAATTGTTCTGTTTGTCCCCAGCATGAGTGTGATGCCAGCTTCTAGAGGGAGGACGGTGTACGGACTCAAGAAACGCTCTCATGGAGAAGCTTTGGCCAGACCTGGCACGTACAGCACGATGGCTGTCACTGCAACCAGGGCCGCCAACATGGGCATCCAGGGCCAGGGTTTCTGTGTGGAAAGAAACCAAGAGTCAATATCACATTCTCCCCTCTCTTTCCATACTTATTAACCCCTGGGTTCCAGAGAGTCCTGAATACTTAACAATATAAGAAAACTCTTATCTTTGCATCGTAAGAAATTTTAAAAAGAAAAGAGAAAAGGTGAGGGAGCACAGGTGGAGGAGAGCCGTAACAGCGGGAACCTTTGCTAATGGAAGCCTGATACATCTCAGGAAAGCCTTGGGCAGTTTTCAATTGCATTACAGTTGAAACCTAATAGTGACTTCGAAGAAACCCTCTGGGCTCAGCCTGCTTTATTTACTCTGGTATCCATATATTACAACCAACTGATGAGCACACATGCCTGGAGTATGTTTCTGCCTAAAATGTTTATTTCTTGATAAAAACCAGACTCACATGTTGGGGTGGTTTTACACAAGGAGCTGGTGGGTAAGGTGATGGAAAGAAAATGGTCTAAGCTTTGATCCTCTAAGTTGAAGCCACAGGAGACAAAATCAGAAAAAGTTCAAGGCGGGGAAATGCTAGGGACCCTGGCGTCTGATGCTTCGGGCAGAGACCATGACTGGTGTCATAACGTCATGTGATCATCTCTATTCTCTACTGACATGCACGCCTGCTGGAGGGCCAGCATGGAAGGGCTGGTCCCTGTTAACCTTCAGAGGGCTTTATAATATCAACTTGCACTGGTCGGTAGGTTTTATTACCACTGGTGTTCTGGCAGTCCGACTGAGAAAGCTGGTTTTTAAATGGATACTCTGATGTTGCAGATCAGGGTTCAGAAAGATGTGGGATAGGTTCATACTCATAAGTCAATGCACAGTGGGTCTGAGATTGTGAGCCAATGGTCAATTATGATAATCTCATCTTTTTTCAACTTCATAGCCACAGTGTAAACACAGGCAAAGGGTTGGAACAAAGAAACTCTACACTATGGAAAAGAAGAGGGAAGGGAAGAGGGGGAAGGAAACTGGCTGAAAACTTCAAAGAGGCAAACTCTTCATTTCTCATTCAAATCTGCTTAAATATATGATTGAGATGGGGGTACAAATACTGCAGCAATTCATAGTTTACTCCAGTTTGCTAGAGACAAAGACTGTGAAAGGCAGCATATTAACGACTGGTTAGGTTGGAATTAATTCATGGTTAGCATCACTACAAAGGAAACAAGACAAAATGTTACGTGATTAGTTGATTGTTCAGTTCATTCGTATGACACAATACATGGCATACTAAATGAAGGGTTTGCTTCAGGTAACAGAATACCTGTGTGGTTTTGCCATGCACTATGTTACAAATATGGCACGAACAGGTGACGGGGACAAACAGACAAGGACTCAACAGGGCTTGTACCTTTCTCTACCACAATGGACCGAAACACCAAAACAGGAAAGCCAGGAATAGGCCGATGAATACGGCTGGGACGGGTTGTAATATGGAAGGCTAAAGAAGGGAAGGGATATTAAAATCATTTTATGCTATAAAAAAAAATCAGATAAGATGATTTAGAACCCAGGGGGTGGGAGGGAGGGAACACTAAGGTAACAGAATAGCACCGATTCAAACATTTTTGAAGACATCTAACATCGAATACAATCCAGAATGGTGGGTGTGGTGCCTGAGTTGGCAAGCCACCCATTTAAAACAAACAGCTGGAAGCAATGGGCACTGTAGGTGCCCCTAACACCCTAGTGAAATGTAGCACATTCACAGACCGAGCAATGACAACATCTCGCCAGCTGATGCTCTGCCTGACAGTACTCAGAAGCCAGTACTCGACAATATAGTACCTCAGAAATGGCTGAAGTCTATTTCATCCTTCCATCAAAACCTTTTTTTTTTTAAATACTGAAACTCTTTTGCCTGGGATGGTATTGCTTCCAAGCTTAAAAATAAATGCCCTCTTATGCCTGCTTCCTAAACCAAGCAAGAGACCTGTATGGTAAACATTTGGGATATAAAAACATAGGCAGCTGAGTCTCAGGTCTTTGAGTTATGTTACTGGAATACAATTAATTTTTAAAATTGGAAGGGAATTACTACAATGAGTGTTATTACAGAGTAATATTTTAGTACCGTAAATCCAATCTCGTAATAAAAGGAAATTCACCCTTAAGGTAAAGTAATAGTAAGACTACAGATAATAATAGCAAGGTTGCTTTTGAAAAGCTTCTAAATAGTACTGGGGGATCCATTCTGATTAGGCTAGATGCCTTCATAGATTAATTTAGTAGAAGGTGGACTAAAATTCTATACTCAGAGGGATATGGATTAAAAGAAAAGAGAGAAGTAACCACACCATTTACGGATTTCAGAAAGAGTTCCGTAATCTTCAAAATGAATGCAACCCATTTTTGTGTAGCATAAAGCCTCCACACCCAATTCGTCAACTTCTAAAAGGCTTTCATCTAAGCAACAAGCCTTTATTTTGTAAAAAACGAAGACGTTCTTTAGCAAAGAACAGTTGGACACAACTCATGAACATTCTGTGTGCAGCTGTGTAACCGGCCGGCCATGCACCGTCACTCTGTCGTGCTTGTGCTGCCTGTTAAGCGGAGTGCCTTCTCCAGAGAAGCGTGTGGCTCACGCACTCTGCAGGGTCTGAGCCATGGCAGGGCTTTGAGGTAAGTCAGAGCACAACCAACCACACTGAACAGCATCAGTTAGGGCCCACAGGGGCAATGATCACCAAGACGTGCCACACGACAGTGATTTAGTATAACATCTTTTTAAAGACCATACCCCTTTCTAGCAAATGAAAAACAAATTAATAGTATTAAACTATGTATATCAAAACATTCCAATTTCATACACATACACACACAGCCCTACAGAAACTCACCAAACAATTCCTAATATTTAGAGGAGGCCAAAGGACACTAAGCTTTCTAGGACTGTGCCTTAGTGAGAACACTATTAGTATAAAATGAAAACCATAATTAAGTCTCCATTTTTTGATACAGCCAAGGGCTAAGCAGTGAGCAGGGAACTAGTGTTTTTAGGTGGGTCCCTGGTGGTGTAGTGTTTCACTTTCCAGCAGGGGAAAAAGAAAAACCAGAGGATGGCTTAGTGACCGAAGTTCAGGTTCATCTGGGAAAAGCTGACAGTTCTTAGGTAAATTGTTCTCTTGCAAAACAACGCTCTTCCAGACAGTTCTCTGACTCTTCCAAGGTTACAAATTAAAGGGGAAGATTCTTACTACAAAAATTTGACTTCACAATGTTTTCATCCTAGAAATTCGTAATGGAAGGCCCACTTCACATGTATGACAGGCCTTAGTTTCTTAAAGCAGTCATAAAGTCCTCTGAAAATAATCAGGGCTTTCCCCTGCCTCTCAGTCAAAGCTAAGCCAAGTTTGCAAAGACTTACATTATTTCCTTTCTCTCGGAGCAGCTTCAGGTTGTCTTTACATTGTTTGAGCTCATCTGTGATTGATTGTTTTTCCTGCTCAGTCATTTCAAACTTCAACTTCAGTTCTGAGAGTACAGTCTGTGTCTTTTCATACTAAAGGCAAAGAAAAGAGAGTGTGCAGACTCGACTTAAAATGGGCATGAAGTTATGGTTCTAGTCAGGCTTATATACCGGACCCTACTTAGTCCCCTGCAGCACCAAAGTCAAGCCTGTTCATTTTAAGGGGGAAAAGAATAATTTGCACTAATAATATGAGGTCTTTAATGTTAACAGAATTATTCTATGTAAGAATTTTCTGGAGTTAAAAAGAAAAGAACTAAGTCACCCTTGTTCCATCTGTTTCTAATGTAAGGGGTCACTTTTTCCACTAAGTAAGTTAGAGGAGAAAAGTAAAATTTCAAACTGAGCAAAAGAAAAGCAAGTTGGAGAAAACCTCCAAACACTAAGTACACTGGGATGTGAGGAAGTCTGACTTTACATCCTGGTAAGTATTGTCAGCCAAACTGTTTTAGTCTCCAAGTAAAACCAACTGCCAACAGGTCTCCTTTACGCAGTATCACTGGGTATTCAGTGTTCTGCATAAGGGACTTTCTAGGCAAATGGAGCAAAGAAATGTATCTAAGGTACTAACCACGATGACTGGGACATTGCTGTATCCCTACTTAAGACTTACAAGCATAAGTTGAAAATAATTCTGAAAAACTTGTTTCTGAAGACATTTTTCTACAGTGAAATATGCCACTTCCTGCTCTGGACACACTTCACTGTGTATGATTTGACTTTGATGAAGTGTTTCCCTTGGATACAGGTGATGTCAATGAGACATGTAGTATGGTTTGCCCCTACTTTAAATGCCCCTGGAAGCAGGTCCAGACTGGTTCCACGTCTAGATACTGCATCCCATATGCAAGCTGGGCTCCCAGGCAAACAGCAAATGCTGTCCTGCTGGCCCTGTGCCTTGTCTCGGCCACCGTGCCCTCTCTCTGCCATCTCTGAAGGTTTTGGATGGAAGAGAGAAAGACAAGGGCTGAACAGAATATAAATATCTACCATGGGTCTTGGCATACCAGAAAGGTTTCTCCTCTTTCCTAAATACAGCCCATGAGGCCAGGAAGTCTCCAGTTCCTTTCTGCCTATATCCTAGAAATTCCTCAAATAAAGGACTCTTGTATTTGGTGCTTCTGAATAATGCAAATGCCTTGGAGTGATTAGTTAGGAGATCATCATACACACTCCAAAGATGAATATCAAGTAGGACGCAAATGTCTAAGAACATTAGTCAGACGAGGTGAGGGTAGGGAAGTTAGGGTCTGCACAGAGGTCACCAGAAAGTTGGAAGATACGGGTACAGAGAGGGAGGTGAAATATGAAAGGCACTCCCTGTCACCTAACATTCCCGGAAAAGTCCGGGTGGTTTGCCAGAGAAGAGCTAAAGAGTAAGGGTCACGGGCTTCAATGCAGCCCTTTCTGTGGGGTCTGTGGGGTCTTCCAGAAGGCGGAAGGTTATGACGGCAGGCTGCCACAGCAGATTCAGGGAGCCTAGCCTGGACTCTGCCGTGGTCTCTTAGAGCACAAGCAATTCTCCACAATCTGACTCTTCACAGTGATGAGCAGAGAGTATGTGAAAAGTGCTTTGCTGACCTAAATTTTCCCTTACTGCCCTTTTCCACCATTCTCACATCAAACCCGCCCTTTACACCAAAGCACTTCATCACCTCTCTGTTCCAGGAGGCGGGAAGCAGAATGGCAGGACGACAGCCCGCTCAGGCAGACCCGGCTGTTTGCTTTCAGCTGGGGGCCAGGTGGGGGCCTCAGGCCCCAGGGCAAGACAGGGACGGCAAACTACTTTCCCGCTCAGCCTCTGCACAGGGGACTTTTGTGCCCGTGTTTTGTGAATTCTTAAATTACAGATATTCCTACTAAGTTAAAATATACAGATGCTTTAAGTCAAACACAAAGATGATATACCATTACTTTTCTCTTCATGTGGAGGATTAAAATTTACTTTCTCATGTACTTTCTCTCTGTTAAAGGTTCAAACAGAGCTGCCATATATATGAAATTTAACTGCTGGAACAAAGGTCACCTTCTGCAGCATTAGTTTCACACCTTCCTTGAATATCACTTTTGCTCCATCTTGCTTTCTAACTTGGAGGTGAGAAGTGAGCTCAGCTCTGAGTAAGAGGAAAATAGCACGCAATGTTCCCAACACCTCTGTGCTTCTCCATAAATATAATCATATCTGAGTTTGCTTAGCTTGTAACATGTTAGCCTGTTACAGTGCTGAAGATACATGACACTGTGCACATTTAGCATGACTCTATGAGAGGAAGGAGAACAAAGGGGAAGTGCTGGAAGGGGACGTACGTGCATTAATTAAAGGCAGCAATTCATTTGCAGTGGATTTACACACACAGAAGAACCTCATTAAGGAACACTTTAGTTACAGACCAGTATCCGGTAGTTGACATCAGGACAAGCAAAAAGAGAAGCAATTTTACAATACAAAGGAGTATGGTGACTGCACATCATTTCACAATGGAAAACACAGAACAAGCAAATAGAAAAGAAAGATATTGACAAGATCAGACATATTTTTAAATGCGCTGCATTTAATGCAATCCAAGGCTATCAACAATTTAGATGCTGTGACAACATGCCACTGCCATTTGTGGAAACAGTTAAAGCATTTTGCGCTGATTGCTCAGTGACCAAGAACAGGCGAACAAACAATGCAACAAAACGGCTAATGCATCCATAGTAACGTACAACAGGATCATCTTCCAACCACAGCATTCTTCCCAGATTTTGAAAGAATTACGGCATATGGATTGGAAGGACACAAAGTGCTTACAATATTAAATACTAGGATATATTTACTTTGGCACAGAATTTGTGTTCCAACTAAATAAATGAGATTTCTCCCAAAACACATATCCTTAGTAAGAAGATAAAAACGAACATAGTACAAAATCAATATGACCACACGTAAATAAAAAAAAGTTACAGCTCTTTTTTCTGTAGGAACAAACATGAAGACAGAAGAACAATAATTATTTCCAAGTTCAGGATACTACAAGGAAAGGAAAGTGCAATGAAAACTGCAGTGATGAAATAGATCTTCTAAAAACAATTTTGGGAAAATTCATTATTAAAGACAAAGAGTTGTCTTCAACTTCTTTCTATTTATAACGAACCCTTCACTTAAGGGTGTACCGCTGGGGCGGGCTCTGATCTGCAGGTGGAGATGCCTCAGCTCCTCTCCCTGAGCTGCCCGGGGCAGCGCGGGAGCGGCGGGCGGAGGACGGACAGCAGCCTCCCCGCCCCACCGCCACCTTCAGGGCTCTGCTCAGGAAGAGGCTGGGTGGTGGCTCTGCTCCGAAGTCAACCCGCACCACTTCTAACATGATTTTTTAAAAGCCACCCAGGTCAAGGTTTTAAGCAAAATGACATGAAAAGTGGACATGCGTGTTTGTGAAGGGGAAGGAAGGGGTTGGGGTTGAGGAATGGGGAGTAAAAGGTCACAGAAGATAATGCTTAGCTGGCTGGCTCTGAGGTCAATTTTCCATAATTGTTCACGCAAGTCTCACCTGAGGAGTTTGGACAGGATTATGGTGTGGCCCCAGTTTGCTTTCTAAAAGTATTCTAAGTTAAATATGATACTGTCTTTGAAAGATAAACAGTAAATTGAGTGATGTGGTACAAAGGGCTTCTCATATAGGTCAACTAATGGGCAGAAGAAAAGCTTGTAATTTTGTATATTTATATTGAGACCAGACCCTACTGATGAATTCTCTCTATATGGACCATGGTACACAGCTAGAAATCACCAAGCAGAGATGCTCCAAGTATCAACTTTGTGACAGGTAATGTGACTCCTGATTCCCTTTATTTCTAACTGGCATGAATATCGGATTTGCTTTTGGCTTTAAGTCCAACCATAATTGGGCTCATAATGTCTTTTTGCTTTACCTCTTTCTGTACATCCTTTGCTTGAGTTTCAGCCTTACTGAGAAGAGTTTTTAAATCAGCTGAATCCCGCAGATGCTGTTCTTTTAAGGATCCCACCTGATTCTCAAGCTCTTTTCTAGTCATCTGAAGGATGCTGAGATCGCTGGTAAGCTCCAAACTCTGCTTCTGAGAACTGCAATGTAAGTATTGACAGATTTATTCATGTAGACACTAGACACAGCAGCAAGTCCAATTTCTTCTGCATTTCCCTAGCAGGGGTGGAGTGGATTTCAGAGGAGAAAAGAAAAGTGTAAAGAAAGCAGTAAGATATTTTCAATAGGTAAAAAAGCATTAAGCTGTGTCCTAGTTTCAGATAATTAAATAAACATAAAGGTTGACACTTTAAAAATAGAAATAGGAGGTGACTAATTGTATTTTGTTATAGTACATTATAGTAACTGTGTCATAAAAAGATTCAGGATAGGTCTTCTATAGGAAAAGAATGGCACATATTTCAACCACTTTCTTGCATGTTTACATACTTGACAAATAGGATGGGGGACCAAAAGCTAAAGCTTAGGAGCCGCTGCCAAGCCAAAGATAAACCTACTCAAACGAGGACACCCCACCACGCTGGAGGCAAAGCACAGGACGGGGACCAGGCAGCTGGAGTCTAGACCTCAGGTCTGCCACGCCTGAGATGTCAGATGTTGAGCAAGTCTCTTAACTGGTGCAATGTCATTCTCTGGGTAAGCATTTCCTGAGCCAGGTGCCACGTTACACAGACACAAACAACACAAGGAGAGTCTCAGGCCCTCCACTGTCAAACTAGAAGACTAAACTCAAAAATTTCTGATGCTGTTCTCCAGCTTAAATTCTATGATTACCTTTTAAACGTGATATAAAAACAATCTGATTTACATGTTAGGAAAACAACTTGATATGCACGAACAGAAATTCTACCTTACAGACAATAGAAGAGAAGACCTATACGGTGTACATGTGTTAAAGAACTTGGCCCCCATCTACAATAGAAATAGCTTCCGGAGGATAAGGTTTTCAAGACGACAATTTTATGCCTCTTAGGATGGATGACAGGATTGAGACTCAATATTGTAACTGAGGTACTAGAGAGTATAAATCCCATTCTGATTATATTCGAGGCAGATTCTTAGAGGGTGAGTGTGATATTGTCAGGCCAATACAGCTGGAAACTAAACAGTGTTTAAGACCCTAAAAAGGAAGACTAGCTTCTAGATACTACTTAAATGCTGGGGAGGCTTGCCAAGTAAATTTAGAGCATTACTACACCGGAGAGGTTTAAGAAACAGAATTAATTTGTCTTAACTACTTTGTGAGCTTAGACAGACAACCTGGTCCATGATTTAATATATTCCACCCTTCTGGGACCGAATATTTTCAAACTGTATGCTTCTAATTCATAAAGAGTTTGTAGGCTTGCTTTTCAACATTTAACAAATTTGAGGTAATTAAAAAAATAGCATTTAACAATCTGTCAGATACCAATTAATCACATCTCAAAAAATGAGGGCTCAAGTTTGAATCTTTAAAATATGAATAATTCCAAAACAGGAATAATTTAAGATAAGCAACACTGGTAATAAACAGAAGAAATTCTTGCTCGATAGAACACCAAACTAAATGGATTCATTAAGATCCAAATGCATTCCAAATATGAGACCTTGACGGTCTGCAGCATCATACACACACTTATATCAATTTGTCCAAATGTGCCGTCACATAGATAATCAGTTGGTACACATACATATGTATATACTTAACTGGTTTCAGAGAATTCTTGATATTAAAGTAGAGCTTGGGCCTTTAGTTTGTCCTATTCTTACTCGTGAATTGCTTTAACCAACTTCTACATGTTATAAACAAACATTCATCTTATTCTTTATTACTAATTCTCTCTAAACACTCAAAAAGTAATACATATAAATGTATGAAAAGACTATAGAAAGGTATGACCTGGAGGAGAAAAAAGTGCCTTATAGATACTGATGCTGAGAACAAATAGTATTGCAAGGAAGAGTTTTAGAAAATAAATCAGCACATCATGTTTCTTCAATTAGTTCTTGATTTTTTTAAATGTATAACCAATAATAATTGTTTTTGTTTTTATAAGCAGATAATGAGGCTTATTATTTTCTGATATATCTAGTATTTTCTTTATCGTTTTTCCCTAAGCTTTTTTTCTATGGGAACTGACCTTGGTCACTGAATTTTGTTAACCGTAATGCTCTTCAGGAGCATAAATTCAAGACTAACAACCGAGTAATGACTCCCATTTTTGGTGTCCTGGGGGAAGGAGAAGAACTAATTATGAGTGGCTTCAATAATAACCATGTACTCCTTTCATATTCTGAAGTAGAACATTAACATTGGTTAAACAAAAATACAGAATGCATCAAATTTTAAGGAAGAAATCAATTTTAAACTATGTAACAATTGGTGGAAGAAAAGAACTCCACCAAATCTGCTGGAATAAATCTATTGCATTCCTTGGTTTGCCTGTAAGGTACTAGATATTAGAAAGATATGACTGGTTTTGGAGAATTCTTGATCCTATATACTATTTCTCTTTATGTAGCCCTGTTTGAAATGCAGAAGCTTAATTTATCTTTCAGTAGTATGAACTCTTTATGATAGCCATTTCCTGATCACCCGTATGAACAGAAGGGATCACGGGCGTGAAAGAAAAACAAACTTGTATTTGAAATTTATCATCACTAAGTTTATAGAGCAAGTTCAATCCTGAATTATAGACACTAGCTGTTTGTTTAGGGCTTTTCTGTGGGGAGGGGGCATTTAATAAATGTGTGTTCCATGTGCACCAAGGAAAGGACACGCAGGCTGGTAATGGTGGCAGGAAGTACTTACTCAGTTAGCATGTTAACCTGGCAAATAATCAAAAAGAGTCTGGCTGCACATTTTGCTCCAACAAGTCTTTAAGTATCAAAATTTAATTAAATTTAGATGAAAATTCAAGATAAGGAAATATTTTGAAGCTAAAAAAGAAATTCTTGCATACTTGTGCAATTCTTTCTCTTGCCGCTGCAGTTCTGATGACAGCAAAACGTTTTCCCTTCTCAGAGAATGGCATTCGGTTTCCAACACATTCCATTCCTTTCTCAACTTCTCTAGTTCACCTAAAATAGTTCCAAAACATATCTGTTAATATAGGAACATAATTTCCATACTCACTCAGATGATCAAGGACAGCATTTCAGAGAAGAGCGTTACCTTTACCCTCTTAGAAACATGTAGATTTGACGTGGCTTTTTTCCCCCATTCCTGTTACTTTGTCTCTATACCTCAGAGAAGTCCCACCACAGATTTTAGCAATATATTTTCCCACTTCATTTTTATAAGACAAATAATTTTAATAGTATTTAAGTAAAATATAAAATTGCAAAAACTTTGTTTGCTGTAGAACTTGCAGACCTGAAGAATGTTTATAGCCCCGACATAAAAACACTGCTTTATGGAACCAATTGCTATCAAAGAGACAACAGTTCGAGTGGTTATTTTGTACAAGTTACAATGGTACCAGAGGCCCGATAAGAGCTTTATGTAAATAAAATACATTTGCTCACCTTGGAGTCTTGTGGCTTCCTCTCTCTGCTGGTCCTCACACTGCTGACATCTAAGCTGGAAACTGTTCTGCAGACTCGTGATTTCTTTCTCATACTCGGACGCTGCTTTCCGCCACCGCTCAAGCTCTGCTCGCACCTTCTTAAGCTCTTCTTGTAAAGAAGCAATGTCAGTGTCCCGCTCAGAGGCAGCCTTTTCTGCTGCTTGATGAAGGAGTAAAATCTCATCTCGGGCACTAAGCAGTTCATCTCGCGTGCTTGTGATTTCATTGTCCTTCTCCTCGCGGAGATTCTCGATATTGATGTGTAATCTCTGCAGTTGGGCTACAAAAGGATAGTTGGCCATCATTTTCTTGGTCCACAGCAATGAGGGATTAAAAAAAACAGCTCATCTGGGATTGTAGGCACAGTGCAGGCTGTCAGACCAGTTTGTTGCTTTTGATTAAACTGTACAAGCAATCTATGTTTAATGCAGAAAATGTCAAAATACAGAAACACAAAGAGAAAAAAACAGAAGTGATCTTTATTTCTCCCACTCAGAGAAAACTACTTCTAAGATTCGGTACTTATTCTAGATTTTTCTACACATTTATATACATATGAAAACAAAAATAGGGAGGGATCATAATGTATATGTAGTGTTCTCTATTCTGCTGGTATGAACATCTTTGAATAATTAAAAACAATTACCCTGTAACTTTTTTGACTAATCCTTTATCTTAGACATTTTAGGCTGTTGAGTTTTTAATTACTATAAACAATACTGCTTATAATGCAATCCTGATTTTTTTGGTAGGGTTCATTCCTAGACATAGAGCTGCTTGTTCAGATGGTAAGCATTAGTACAACCTTTGATGTTCCTTAAAGAACCCTTCTCTGATGACTAAAATTAGCTGTCATTCTCTAGCCCTTTACTCTGTCTTTACTGGGCATCATAGTATGTATTTATGCTTATTGTTGATCTTTCCCACTAGACTGTGCATCTTATATGGGCTTTACTCCTAACACTAGCAGAGTAAGCAATCAGGAAGTAATGAAGTAATTAATCTGATAAAATTTATGAATACTGCCTAATCTAAGAGGTATATATATATATATTTTTTTTTTTTTTTG